CAAAGTAGGCAAAAAATGGAAAGTACATATGGTTGCCTACTTACGATGTTTCAACTTAGGATTTTTTGACTTTACTATGGCTTTATTGGGTGGTATTAAGTGCATTTTTGACTTACAATATTTTTGATTTGTGATGGGTTTATCATGGGTTAAATCCATCACAAATAAACTTATCATAGGTTTATAACCCCATGGTAAGTTGAAGAGTATCTATATCTCACATTTTACATCTAGCAAAAATATCCCTAAGGAAATGCAAATTAAAACAATGAGATACTACTACAAATAGATGACACTGAATGCTAATGAGGCTATGAAGCCACAGGGACTTTCACTTATTGCTTTTAAGAATGCAAAATGTTAGAGCAACTTTAGAAGGCAGTTTGGTGATTTCTTTAAAGACTAAACATACTCTTACCATGTGATCCAGCAACTGTACTTTTTGGTATTTACCCAGAGGAGTTTAAAACTATATTCACGCAAAAACATGCACACAGAAGTTTATTGCAGCTTTACTCGTAATTGCTGAAAACCGGAAGAAACCAAGAAGTCCTTTAGTAGGTGAATGGATAAAATGACTGTGGAATATCAACAATGAAATATTCAGGGCTAAAAAGAAATGAGCTATCAAGCCACATAAAAATATGGAGAAGAGTTAAACGCATATTGCCAGGTGAAAGAAGCTAATCTGAAAAGTCTACATACTGTATGAGTCCAACTACAGTATATGACATTCCGGAAATGGCAAAACTATATAGGTGTAAAAAGATCAGTGGTTTCCAGGAATTAGGTGGGGAGGGAGGGATGAAAAGGCGGAACACAGAGCATTTTAGGACAGTGGAAATACTCTGTGTGATACTATAATGGTAGATACATGTCATTATACATTAGTCAAAACTCACAGAATGTACATCAAGTGAATGCTAAAGTAAACTCTAGATTGTAGGAGATAATAATGTGTCAATGTAAGTTCAGTAATTGTAACATATGTACCCATCTGGTGGGGGGATGTTGATAATGGGGGAATGCATCTATGCATGTGTCGGGGCAGGAGGTATCTGGGAACTCTCTGTATCTTCTTCTCAATTTTAAATTGCTCTAAAAAATAAAGTCTATTTTTAAAAAAATCCTTCAAGAATAAAAGGGAAATAAAGGCATTTTAAGAGAAATGAAAACTAGGAGACTACATTGTCAGTGGACCAGACTCACAAAAAAATGTTTTAAGAGCATTTAGTACTATGTGTCAAACAGTATCCTCCACGTTTTACCTTGTGCTTCCCAAGGCCAATGCTGAAACAAAATTTCAACTCAGGTGGTTTATTTGGTAGGTGGTTTGCACTATTTTGTGTCCCCCATCTTTAATAAATTATAGATCCAACCTCTAGTAGCTCAAAATATAATCATATTTGCAGATTAGGTCTTTTAAAAGGTTACTAAGCTAAAATGAGGTCCTTAGGGTGGTCCCTAATCCAGTCTGACTGGTATTCTTATAAAAAGAGGAGTTTGGATACAGAAAGAGACACCCCAACACATGCATACACAAAGAGATGACCATATGAAGACATGAGAAGGCAGTCATCTGTAAGTCAAGGAGAGAGGCCTCAGAAGGAACCAAGCCTGCCAACACCTTCACCTCAGACTTCCCAGCCTCCAGAACTGTGAGAAAAGAAATGTCTATTGTTTAAGCCACCCAGCCACCCAGTCTGTGGTTTTTGTTATGGCAATCCTAACAACTAATACAGTAGGTGATCTCAGAAAATATGGTAGAGAAGTGGGAAAGTAAGAAAGGGAAAAAAGGGCAGCCAAGGAAATGTGTTATTTACAGGTTGAATGTCCCTAATCTGAAAATCTGAAATCCGAAATTCTCCAAAATCTGTAAGCTTTTCAGTGCCAACCTAATGCCATAGGTGGAAAGTTTTAGACCTGACCTCATGTAATGGCTAGCAGTCAAAACTTTGTTTCATGCACAAAAGTATTGAAAATAGTGTATAAAATGGCCTTGAGGCTATGTGTATAAGACACATATGAAACATAAATGAATGTTTTGTTTAGACTTGGGTCCTACATAATGAGATATCTTTACCTCATTATGTTTATACAAATTTCCCCCCTCAAAAAAAAATCTGAATTCTGAATTTCTGGTCCTAAGCATTTTGGATAAGTGATACTCAACAGTGTTGGAGTCAGGCAGATACGGATTTATCCTCCTAGCTCTTTATCTGTAAAATAGAGATAATATTGCTACTTTATGAGAATAAAATAACATAGTCCATGTAAAACCCATAGCCATTATCTGACATATCTTAAGTACTCAATAAGTATCTTTAAAAAATCATTTAATTTCATGACAACTCTAAGATTAGAGTAAATGATTATGTTTTAAAATAGCTCCATTAATTGAAAAGATTACCATTTAAGTTGTGTTGGGAATTTTAATGGTATTATTTTTGTGTATTATGTTTAGTGCAGTGGCTTAGTACATACTTACTGTACTAAATACTTAAATATATAGCATATACAGTAATGATTCATTTATACGCACATATGATTTTCCTGTTGATGTGACTGGGCTGTACTGAAATTACATTCCCTTGTGTTCTTTATTTTCCTGTTTCTGCAATCACACACTGTAAACTATAACACATATTTTATTAATGACACACGTCAGGTATTTTCTTCCTCTAAGTCCCAAGGTTTTTTGGAAAGGGATTTTTCGTGAGTCATAGTCTTAGTTTCTTGTGGTGAAGTGTGTGACCTTATCATCTGTCTACCGCCTCTAAGCATTGTTTCTGAAATAAGGCCACAGTTCCCTAAATGTGACTGCCTTCAGCTGCTTTGGTCTTGCTGTAGTTGCATTCCTGGAATTGCCCTTCATAGACCTCCTGGGGCCTCCTGGGAACTGGAGAGCATTTTGTAATGGAGATGTAAGATACTTAAGTAAATTACCTTTAATTATGGAAAGCACAAAAACTCAGAACAGAATTAGTGATCAAAATGGATTAATG